AATTCAGGATGACCCGAAGGTGAACCTATCATTGGGTTTTCTTGACAAGATTTGTTCAGACTTTAGCCTTTGTCTACCTCTGAGGCTGAGAGATTGTGATTTTCCCAAGGTCACTGTAGGTTTAGATGGCTAAGCAGGGATTCAAACCCCGGTCTCCAGAGTTGTAGTCCAATACTTAAACCACAACAACACCCTGGCTCTCCTGTTTCAACTGCTCTTTCATTTTTTACTCACAAGTTACTACAACAGGCAGATGCTCCCCCCAGAAATGAATATTTTACTCACCAGTCCCAGTATTTGTAAAACAGTAAAGTGATAGATGAACATCAATCCAGTGGATAGTAAAGCCCACCAGAAATTGCAAGAAGGTTCAGGAGTGTAGACACCTGTGGAAAATGGGATAAATAGTGGCAAAGAGGGAGGAAAAAGAAAGGAATGAAATATCATTCAGGAATTGTTGAGAAAGTTTTCTTTTTTAAAAAAATTAAGTTGGGAGGGAAATTCCAACATCTGGATGCTGAAAAAGAAGATGCCCCATCATGCACAACCACCCACCTTTCCTCCTAGAAGGGAAGAGACAATATTAACTGATGGGCAGGTTCATCATTATTATGCAATGCCAGTCCTCCCAAGGCATGGCTTTGCTCATACAAAGAGTTTATGAATTGCAAAGCTACAAGATCTGTTTGTCCAAACATGTCAATAGCAAGAGTAAGAGTCAGCTGAAGAAGTGTAAGAAGCCAGGAGCAAGATCTCCACCTGGTTCTCCAAGCTAACCACTTCGAATCCACTCTTTCTGGAAAACCAATTTCTACTCCTCTCACAGGTGAAGCAATCCTGCAGCCCTTCAAGTGTCCTTCCACTCATCTCCAAGCATTCCTCATCATTTGGTTATGGTGGCTGATGGGAGCTGGAGTCCCAGATGATTTCCTATCCTTGCCCTACGAGCTCCTGGTAATACACACAGAGAGATCCAGCATGGCATAGCCGTTTAAGTGTTGAGCTACAACTCTGGAGACTAGGGTTCAATTCCCAGCTTGACCATGAAACCCACTGGGTGACCTTAGGCAAGTCACATGCTCTCAGCCTCAGGGGAAGGCAATGGCAAACCTCCTCTGAAGAAATCTTGCCAAGAAAACCCCAGGATAGGTTTGCCTTAGGGTCGCCACAATTTGGAAATGACTTGAAAGCACACAACATACTCAGTACACAGAGAACTGAGCTACTCTGCTAGCAAAGTACAACCTGAGTTGCTGCATCTTACACACACCCAGTCAAGAAACATTCACCCTTCTCTTTTTCAACAAATGTCTTTCCTTTATTAGATGAAGCTAACTAAATATTGCTGGAATCAGTACAAGGCTGGCGTTTGCTACTGGAGCAAGCACCTTAACCTTAACTGGTTACGTGCATTTCCAGGGAAGGAATCAGCTTTCGCAGCACAAAGCAGCTTATAAGATTTCTTAGCCAGTGGGTGGCTGAAGGTCAGCGCAAGTTAGGGACGGCGCAAAGGGCAGAATGCCAGGTGCCACGCAGAATCCATCACTCCGGATGGGAGTGCTCAGAGAACAAGGGAGATGGATCAATATGGATGCAACATATTGGATGGAGACCGATCAGTATGGATGGACAGGAGTAAAATAATGGTCCTAGAATTTCAGAGGACTAAGGGGAAGGAGAATTGGGCTTCCCCTGACACCAAAACCAACAATTCAAA